GCAGCCGCAGCCGCAGCGGCCGACGCCGAGGCAGCCGCCGCCGCCGCCGCCGCCGCCGCCGCCGCCGCCGCAGCCGCAGCCGCAGCCGCTGACGCCGCCGCAGCCGCCGCCGCCGACGCCAACGCTGCTGCCACCGCCGACGCTGCTGCCACCTCCGCCGCCGCCGGCTGCACCGCCCAACCCGGCCGCGTACGTGTTGGTGCTGTGGCGCGCCGGCGCGCTACGAGGAGGAGCGGCGACGGCGTCGACCTCAGGTCCCCTGCCTCCCCCGGCAGTGAGGGAGGGGCGCCCAAAACGCAAGTCGGCTCCGACGAGCTTTGCGCATTACGACGACGGATCCGAGAGTGACGGAGCCGGTCCCCGCCGGAAGCGCGAGCGCGCGGCGGACGTCGACTACCTCGGAGCCGCGAGCGACGAATCCGAGAGCGATGGCGAGCCGAAGCCTCCGCCCGCCAAGCGCCACGCTTCCGCGCCGCGGCAGGCGAATGCGGCGTAGCGACAAGCGGACGGTCACGCGGAGGAGGAGGCGGAGCGCCCGCCGAGGAAGCGCTACATGGGGCAGCGGTAGGAGGAGGAGCCGCGCAGTGGAGAGGGCCATCTGGGAGGTGGCACGGCTGGCAGAGGAGAGGGTGGCGGAGGAGCAGAGGCCGGCAGCAGCGGTGGCGCGGCAGCGGAGCGGCCGCGGCGGCAGGAAAGGGAGAGGGCGGCAGCAGCGGAGAGGGTGGCAGCAGCGGAGAGGGCGGCAGCAGCGGAGAGGGCGGCAGCAGCGGAAGAGGGCGGCAGCAGCGGAGAGGGCGGCAGCAGCGGAGAGGGCGGCAGCAGCGGAGAGGGCGGCAGCAGCGGCGAGGGCGAGGGAGGAGTTGGCGACGGTGGAAGAGGCGGCGGCACTCGCGCAGCTGCGGCGAAGGTCGCGTGGCGACAGCGGCGAGGGAGGCTGCTGCGAGGGCAGCCGAGGTCGCAGCAGGGCGCAAGCCGGGGGGCACCGCCCAGGACTGGGAAAGGGAGGAGAGGACGAACAGGAGGTGATGTGCGACTTTGTGACCCATCGTATGGACAGGAGCACTACCGGGTACGGCGCCATACCTGCTACCAGAACCATGCGGGTGATTTGTCCATCACACCTGTGGCTTGGGCGAGGGGAGCCACGTGGGAAGTGAGAGCGCACGCACCACATCTGCATGACACATCTGCATCGGCATCTCGTGTGATCTCTTCTCGGCGGTGCCTGATCTCAGACAAAAACGAGGGCCCCCCACACCGGTGCGTGGTCGAGTCATTATAAGGAACCTGCCGCGGGGCTCGACCACGCACCAGGCAGGGGGGCCTGACCGAGGTGACTACCCGCGGCAGTATACTCTCTGGTCGCATCTAATCACCGATCGGCGGTGGCTTATACAAGCAGCTGCACGCCAAGCGGAGGCATACACGAGCAATCACCTATCGGCGCGAAACGCGTGAGCGAGCGGCGGTCAGAATACAGCGGGGCAGCCTAGAGAGAGGCACCCTCGAAGTTAGAGGCAGCCGACAGAGAGGCACCCTCGAAGTTAGAGGCAGCCGACACGTCGAGACTGCAGCGAGGCCGTATCACGAGCGAAGGTGCAGACCACGCTGGAGAGCGAGAAAGAGAGAGGGAGAGAGAGAAAGAGGGAGGGAGGGAGGAAGGGAGGGAGGGAGGGAGGGAGGGAGAGACTGAGTGAGCGAGAGAGAGAGAGAGAGAGAGAGAGCGAGGCCGCACCTACAGCGAAAGTTGCGGTCGATGCTCTGCGGTGTTGGAAACTGGTGGCAATCCCGAGCCCACAGCGCATCTCCCACCGACGTGATGAGACTCCTGAGACGAGAGCGGAGGGTGAGAGACAGAGCAAGGCAGGGCTCGCCGTGACGTGGCCGTGACGTGGCCAGCTGAGCTTTCGAAAACGGTGTATTTTATTTTTGCATGGGCGGACCTCAGGGTAGGTGGGGTAGGTCTGGGCCCTCCCGTCGGGTTTTTCCCTCTCTTCACGCTGGAATTTTCACAGCAGAAAAAGAAAATTTTCGGGGAAATCACGATGCCAAACGTCTTTGCAGAGATCGAACTGAAAAAAAAACGTCAAGTTGCCGAACTGCCTACTGTAGCGAAAAGCACGGAGAAGAGGGAGATATCGGACCGACGGACATACGGGCACATGCGCCAGAGCGCACACGAGTGGGTGTGCGAACAACTTCGAAAGACGGTGAGGCCGGGATCGCACACGGCAGGGGTGGCGGGACGGCTGTGGAGCGAAGTGGCTGTAGCCAGCCTGAAACATCGATGGGACAATAAGATGAGATTGCCCGACGAGAACGGGGGGAAGGACAGGCGGGCGACATTTGACGACGTCGGGGATCACAATGTGACGACCAAAACGATCTTGGGGGCCAGGGTGAGACAACAGGTCGGGGTGCCACACGGGGCACACCACACAGGCGTATTCTAGAGGGGGGAAAGAAGCGGGGAATCAGGGGCCCCGCCACGAGAAGCGCGTTCTGGGGATGCAGAGCGTGCGGTCTGCGCTCCTCGTCGGCTTCGCTCTCACGCCGCCGCCGCCCATCGCTCGCCCGTGCGGCGTCGCCCTCACGCCTCGCTGCGGCAGCCCTCACGCCTCGGGCCTGCTGCGGCGGCTCCGCTCTCCCGAGGTGAGCCTCGTCGCTGGCGGCTCGCTGCTCCTCGCGCTGGTGGTGAACCGGCTGGCGACCGAAGAGCTGCTCAATTCCCAGTCGCGCGCCGACCTGATCGCGACGGTGGGGCCGGTGCTGTTGATGCTCGACGGGCTGTCCAACCTCGCAATCACGCCCGCGGAGCCTGAGCCCGTCTCGCTCGCCGGCGGCGTCGCCGTCGACTGGCTCGACCCGGTGGTGAGCGGCGACGCGAGGTGACACACTTCGAGAAGCGTCCGCTGCCACGCCCACCCCACGCTCGCCGGATAGCTGCACTGCCCGTCGCCACCACCCCATCTGTACCGCTGCTGCTCCACCACTGCCCCCTCCAGGCGCGAGCTGGCGTGGGCGACCGACGCGCTGGGGGCGGGGCTCGGCGCCTCATCGGTGGCCATCTGGCGCGCGGGCGGTGGCACCCTCGCGGCCTGCGGACTGCTCACGCCTCGCGCCGCTGCGTCGCCCGCGGCCGCCGTCGTGCCAGGCCCGCTGCTGCAAAAGTGCGCGGGGAGCGCGGCTTCGAGTGTTGTCTCGGACGCGGCAGCAGGACACGGCAAAGGCCTGTGGATTCGGCCGGTCGTGCCACTACCGGGCTGGCGAGTCAGTCTCAGACGGAGAGTATGAAGATGGGAAAGAGAATTTTAGCAATCGGCTGCCTCAAGATGTCTCTCTCTCTCTCTCTCTCCCTCCCTCCCTCTCTCAAGCGGCGGCCGCTCTGATAAGGGGCGAAGACGTAATCCGATGGGTGTGAAGTGTCACGCTGTCCTAACAGTCAGTCGATTCGCTCCTCTCGGGCGTGTATGTTCCCTGGCAGCACGTGACCAGCGCGGGAGCCCGACCCCAAAACTCCCACCGTGGGTATAGCAGTCACATCCCAACGATCTAGAGCTAGCGCCCGCCGACGCTGAAGGCGAAGACAGAGCACCTCAGGTCTGCATCGTCTCGACCGTCACCTCGAGCCAGCTGTTGGCTTTCTCGCCGTCGCGCGAGACCTCGAGCTCGACCTGCCCGCCGACGTGCTCCGACAGGCCGTCGACCATCTGCTTGGTCGAGACCACCTCTGCCGCCGGCGACCCCGCCCGCATCCCCACGATCGTGTCGCCGATCCGGAAGCCCGCGCGCTGCGCCGGCGAGCCGGGCGTCACGTGCATCACGTACAAGCCTCGCGCCGGCACGCGCGCGACGTGGCCGCCGCCAAAGAGCCCGCGCGACTCCTTCTCGGCGGCGCGTGCGTTGAGCTCCTCCGCCACCGGCTCGGAGAGCTCGATGAACTTGAGGCCGAGGTACGGCCGCAGGACGCGGCCGTGCGCCGTCAGCTGGCGCACGACGCGTTTCACCTTCAGGACCGGGCAGCGAGGCGCGATGAGGTGGCGGTAACACCGTCCTCTAGGCGGGTGGTTTCACCTCGTCGATGGGCACGGCGAAGGCGATCCCGTCCATCCCCATCGCCTTCATGGTGTTGACGCCGATCACGCGCCCATGCACGTCGAGGAGCGGGCCGCCCGAGTTGCCAGAGTTTATGGACGCGTCCGTCTGGATATACGCTGTCGTGTTCCGTGCGCCGAGCGAGTCGTGCAAGCCGAGCTCCGAGCGGGTGCGCTCGATGGCAGACACGATGCCGAAGGAGACCGAGTTGGTCAGGCCCAGCGGCGCTCCCAGCGCCACCACAAACTCTCCGGGCCGGAGGTCGGACGACGAGCCCAGCTCTGCTGCGGGTAGTGCAGCGTGGTGGTTCACTCGCACGACCGCGATGTCAGAAATGGCGTCCGAGTGCTCGACGACGCCGCGCAGCCGGGTGACGCCGTCGGAGAGGGTCACCGTCACTGTGCCACCGCGTGCCGCCGCGTCGCGAACCACATGGCAGTTGGTGAGGACGAGACCGGATGGGTCCACGACGAATCCCGACCCGGAAGCTCCCTGCATCGCTGCGCGGAGGCCGCTGCCGGCCGGCTGCACCGATATGTTGACGAGCGCAGGAGCCACACGAGCCGCCGCGTCTGCGATGAAGGAGGAGCTGAGCGGGATCGCCGCCCGTGACTCGGCGCTCTGGCAGCCAGCGACGGCGAACGCAGTGCCAGAGGTCGATGTCGCAACGGCGGCTGCCACCGCTGTCGCGGCGCCAGCACGCAGGGCTCCAACGGCCGAGCGAGTACGGAGGAACTTCGTCGCGTGCAAAAGCCTGGCGGCGTTCATGTAGCGAGTACGTTCCAGTGTTTTTGAGACCGCTCTCCAAGAGCGAGCCTCAAGAGCCTCAAGAGCTCTCAACATGCCTCTCTGCGGGCGCTCTCTGGATATATACTGGGACTTAAGACAGGCCGGCCGGGCAGTTTCCAAGTCGCACAGTGTCGTGCGAAAAGAATTTCAGCACGAGGCGCGGGCGACGGCTTCAAAGAATTTTCACACCCCGCACTGGCATAACACAGGTACACCACAGGCATGAAGGTTGCAGCGAGAATCGGCGAGGGACTGCGAAGGGAGATAGAAAGAGGCAGACGACCAAGGGTTAGGGTGGGCGACGGCTAGCGCACCACACCCCTCTCCTTAAAATCCCTGTGTGGTGGCGGCGTGCCGTCCTCCCATCCCTCCCTTGGGTTCTCTGTTTTCTTTCTTACACAGGTACACCGAAAAAAGAATTTTACCACGGAACTCCCTCGCATGACACTGGGCACGGGACTGGCGCGCACTGGCACTAACACAGGTACACCACGGGAGCCGCCTAAGCGACTCCTGCGAGGACGGCGAGGCACTTAGCTCCGTGCACTCGACCGCCCTCGCAGCAGGCAAGCTCATTCTCATTTCTCTAGGAACTCCGCGAGC